TATAGAATAGCAGTTCAGATCTCACTATTTCATGATCTGAATTTACAGATCTGAGATTGGAAAATAGCAATTCAGACCTTGTAAATTCATGATCTGAAATTTCAGAAATGAGATTTCAGAATAGCAGTTCGGCCAACAATCTATAATTGATATTCCAAACAAGAAACTTCAAGATTGAATCTACTTTACTCGAATGAACTTAGGAAACAAATTACAGAATTGAATTTACATAATACATGCTTTGATTACAGCAAGAAAGGAAAATTTGATGGAGAAATTACATAAATCTTAGCTGAATTCGACTACCAATTTGTGCAGAAATCAAGTGAGGATGAAACCTTGATCTCCAATTGCTTTCTCCCCCTTCGAATTCATCTTCTTCTTCTCTTGAAGCTGCTTGTTCCTCCTCTCTTCTCCTCTCTTGCGCCTATCTCTCTCTTCTTCTCTCTTAGAATAAGAATTCAATGAGAGTTTGAAATCAGGTGTTGGACCCCTTTTCCCTTGGCTCTCTTCTCCTTTTATAGCCTTCTCCTCTGCCCCTTTCCTCCTCTAGAAAGTTCTCCCATCTAGAAAGTTCTCTCCTCTAGAAAGTTCTCTCATCTAGAAAGTTATACAATGCGGTTCTAGATAATTCGGGCTTGATTTTGACTCCGATTCAGTCCGTGTCTATCAAAACTCAAAACATGAAGTTCTAAAAATTTTCTTTATCTTTCCAACTCATCTTGAATCATCTCAATCGGAGTCCGGATGAGAGAGTTATGCCCAAATTACTATTCGGTGCCAAAATTGTCCAGAATTACCCAATTAGTCTTGTTTTTCACTTAACGCCTCATTTCTCTCTTCTAGAAAGTTTCCCGCCTTTAGGCTCCTTGGGCTGTTCTTGAGCTGCTCTTGATCTACAAATGGGCCTCCTCATTGCTGGGCCGAATAGGCTCCATTGGAGAGCTTCAGCTGTGCTCTCTCTTTGGGCTTTCCCAAAGAGTGCAGCATGGGCTGCATGGGCCGAATGGCCCTCCTTTGACCTCTCGGCTGGGCCTTGCTCCCAGCTGGGTTGTATCACCTTCTATTTGGCCTCCTTTAGCATGGTTTTATGC